GCATTGCAAGGGGGAACAGCATTAATGGGCCGTCCGCCACAAAATCAAATCTGCTTGTACCGAGATTGGTGGACGGAAACAATCAATACGGTTTCCGTCGGGACTTGGATATGTCGGCCAGATCTTTTATCTTCGTCACATCCTTTAACATACCAACATCCCACCTGCACCTGTTCCACGGATTTTTCTGCATTTGATTCCGTCCGCTGAAGTTTCGTGTAATCGGTCATGCTGCATGATATCCACAGATCGTGGTCCAAGGAGAAAGTGACTTCAAAATCATCTTAGGCGTCGAACCGGATTGCGTTTTTTAACCGACTCCGTCCTACTGCTTGACAGACTGGCTATCCACGACGATGTCGCAGTAGATCCTTATGTGCCCATCGAAGATCTTGACTACGCTGTTAATGTCCCAGTTTTTGTGATCTCGTTTGCAGCCTAGCCACAATGAGCAGTGAAACTTTTTGCTAGTAATCACACTTTGATATCTTGAGTCAAACATTTGCCTAAAGAATAGCTTAGACATGCAGTCGAACATTGAATCAACCGATGACCCGCTAGCTTACACTTGGCAAACATGACATAGCGAGTATATGGGGCCTCCATAAAGCCAATCCTTCTGGGGGGAATTGTGCCATATGAGACATGCACTCAGTATCTCAATTAATAGAGCCTATAACTTATCCTCCAAACTCCTCCCTGGCGGCACTTCAGAAAAACGACTGCATAGCACGTTACATAGTGAACCGGCCAACTCCGCATTCCTTAATCTCTGACTGGAATGATCTGTCTATGTGCTGTGCTGACTTAACAGCCAAGTTTTTCAGGATGACGATATTCGGTTTGTTAAAATCACATGTACACTGGCTCAATTTTGGCAGAGTGTACCACTGACTGACTGCAGTGGAAGGGGGGTCAATTATCCATAGTGTGGTGAATCTGCCGCATGTTGTAGGCGAAGTCCGTCCTGATGGATGTCTTTACTAGTACAGTTAAAGGACCAACAGAATGTCAAGTTCTGGGCATGGATAGCTTACTGTAAGCCTCCATAGTGTAATAAAATGATTACTAACTGGGATAAGTCGAGTGGGACTTAAGTCCTGGCGTTCGGAATGTGGCCTTCATTCCTTCGTTTGCCGGCCAAACATTTCCTTTGCTGAAATCAATTTTGGTAAGCCCAACCTGTGAGAGTAGTTCGGTCATGTTAAACAAAAAGCAAATAGTTATGAACCTTTGAGCTTCCTGTATTACTTTCGTTCTTGGAAAACATTCAGGCTTGTTGGCTGTCAAATACTGCTGAAGAGTGCTCGGTTAATTCCAGTCTTTTGAATCACAAATCCCCAGTTTCAACAGCTATTTCCCAGGAGACTGACCATGGCGTGAAAATTGTGCTGCTTGTCGTCTTTTAGATAATTCTATGGTCAGTCCCAAGGTCCAGAAAGTGTTTGAAAGAGTTCGCCAGTCAGCTGATTTCATGCCAACGCGTCAAATGTACTCCGTAATAAACGAAGACCTCGGCCCAGACTGGAAGAGTAAGGTCGCCAGCTTCGAGGAGAAACCGTTTGCAGCCGCTAGCATCGGCGAAGTTCATCGGGCAGTGCTGCATGATGGAACGTAAGCGTCGAATCGTCTTTTTTTTCGTTTGTTCTGCTAAAAACCAGTATCATTCTCTCGCTCTGATGATGTAACTTTTTAAACAAAAGATATAATCATGACTAAGTACTAATAATATATATTTGTGTCTTTTAACTCCAGTCTGTTGGGTCGATGCATATCTCCATAGAAATTATTGTTAGGAAAGAATTTCTTTTTAATTACAAGACTAGTCCCGTAACGCCATCGAACTATGTGCTTGCACAGATGAACGCCTTTTTACCCTCGAATCATTTACTTCTCTTTACGGCGTATGTCGATTTCCCGCACTTTCAGTAGTGTTCCCAGTTTCAACCAACGCTCACTGAGATGAATTCGTGCACAACTTGCTACTCCACAATTATTTTTCAACAACACTTAAGGGAGTGGCAGTACTCAGTATTTTCAGGGCCTTCGAAATATGTGGAAAGACCGGATCTAAAGTAAATTGCTAATGCATCCACACATAAAGTCTCGACAAGAAGTGGTTTACTACAAAAACGCTGCGCTATACATAGTTTTCCCAGTTGTTTCAAGCAGTTATACTTTTGATTTTATGTTTGCCCATTAACGATGACGAAATAAATGCTACTTTGGAGGAGGCTAGGCTTAACTGCATGAAACATACCCACTGGGAAGTCAACATGCTATGATGTACGAAGTGACTTATAATTCCGTTGCACACACTATTTCGATCAAACATACATGATCGTTCATTGTATATTTAGGGATTTCTATCAATGTGTAGGGGAAACTTGCGGTGCCTCCCCACTGTCCTGATGCGCCTTACAATTGTCATTTGAGTGCAGAGTAGATTATCTTCATTGAGGTTTAATACAACCAAGTAGCTTGGACTGTTTTACTTCGAATAGTTCTTCTCTCGTCAAGATTTTAATTGCCGACCTTAGTATGTCGCACTCCGTGTCAGTGTTGTTTCAGTCTTTTCAAAGTTTATCTTTCTTTTGACCACTCTCAACAGCACTGTGGCGATGAAGATCCAGTACCCCGGTATCAGCAAGAGCATTGACACTGATGTGGCCAACATTATGCTCGTTCTAAAACGTTTTGAGCTCCTCCCACGTGGCATGTTTGCTGAGGAGGCCATCAAGGTGGCAAAGCGGGAGCTGCACTGGGAGTGCGACTACATCCGGGAGGCTGCCTATGCCACACACTTTAAGAAATTGCTGGCAGACGAGAAGGCTTTTGTGGTGCCGCGGGTCATTCCGGAACTTTCCTCTCATCGAGTATACACGACGGAGTACTTCGATGGGCTCGTTCTGGACGACTGTGCAGCCTTGTCTCAAGAGGTCCGAAACTGGGTAAGTATTCGAGTTGTTGTTGTTGTTGCGTTGACACCCACTTTCTGCGGTCAGTGTCAGGAACCAACGCTCACTGAGATGACTTCGTACACAAATGGACTGCAATGGTAGAGGGAGGGTCCACTCACCGATAATGTTGCGGGAAATAGACATTTCGGTTTGTCTTGAGGCTCAATCTAGAGCCTTACCGATGGTCACACATCGTCTAGTAGTATTCGCGGAATAATATTACCGACAAAGACTGGGAAAACCGGGATGGCAACGTTTGGCTTATTAGCTGTCGTTAGACAGTCATTCACAATCCTAGGTTTTGCAACCTCCTGCTACGAA